CTGCTATTAACTATTGTGCTACAGTAACAAAGGGAAGTTTGAAATCTATTTTCGGTTATAAGTATAATCCGATACGAATGATTACTTTATGTAGCAAGCCAAATTATTACACGAGTCAAGAGGAAAATTGAATAATCGCTGTAAAATGAATAATGTCCATTGGTCAGAGCAAATTGTATTAAGTGATCATGAATTATTCCATGGGACAATGGGACGGCTGGTCATCCGCGATTAGATTGATGGATTATAATTTGGGCTTTTGTTCTAAGGGTCAAAGTTGATGGCGAATGTAATAAAATGATTTGTGACGGTGTTTCTTTTCTGAAAAATTGTTATTATTATTCTTTATTCATTTTTTAGGGGCTTGAAACGGAAATAAATGTATTTAAAAAAGTTTCGGTATCACTGAAATTTTTATTTTAGATAGTTTTAAGATTTGTTTTGGAATTAAAACTTTTTCATTTACAACTTTTAAAGTAAAGGTTTTACAGAACTTTTAATTTTAAAAATACTTTTCTTTTGATGTTATGTCGATTTCTCTGAAGTGTAGATCTAAAAAATGTGTTTTGAGACAAATTAAATTGTAACCGTAATGAAAGCCTAATTACTGTTTATTTTTATTTTACCGGAACTTTTTTTAAGGACTTGAATAAATATAAGTTCAACTTTAACTATAAACCAGAAAAATTATTACAAAAAGGTTCTTTAGAATTTTTATTTTAAGAACTTTTGTCCTAAAAGTTTTCACAGAAACTGTTAAAATAAAACTTTTTAAAAAAGTTTCATAAAATTCTCAACCCTTTCATTTTTCTGTAAGTGAAATAAGATATTTGATTTAGAATTAAAGATATTTAAAAGCACTTTGCAAAACCCAGTGTTTATTGAAGGAAATTAGAGAAGATGAAATATAGTGGATCTGGGCCACTATCTCCAAGTTTTTTGAAAAAAAAAAATCAATTCAAAAGGTTTCTCAATGAGATTAAAGGCTAGCTAAAAAAACCAGGGCAAATGATAGTAAAATTATAAAAAATTTGGTTTAGTTGTTCTTGTTTAATGGTTTGTAAGTTCTTCTCAATTGAAACCTCATAAAAATATTCCATTCCTCCAAAAATTGATTAATTCATAAAATGTGCGCTCTCAAAAAGTTTGATGACAAAACGAACTATTCAATCTACCTGGACCTATTTTTATTTTTGACATAAACTTTCTATTTTTCCACGTTTTCTACTTCAAAGATCAATTTACGTTTTTTTTTTACCTGTCAAGTAATCAATGGATTGTAAAGTATGTTTGGATTAGAAGTGTATATTTAATTTAATATTTAAATATACAAATATGTCATAGGATTCATATTGATAACCGAGATAGAAATTTTTGTGGCATTTAAATCTGAAATTGTTGGGATGTACAAGTCCTTGTGTTTACGTCATTTCGATAAATACCTGTTGGTCCACTATTTTACGCAATCCTTTGGAAAGACTGAATTCTTCGAACCTTAGTGTTTTGAATGACTTGGTCCTATCAAATAAATCCATAAGTGTGAGTGATTTTAAGGGTATAAGATAATTATGAGCCTCTGTGAGGTAACCTGGATAATTTAATTGTCCATATAGTCAGTTTATTATTTTTTTAAACCAAATATATCAATAAATAATATAAAAAATAATAAATTGTTTCATATTAATTTCCAATGACATGAATGGCGTGTTGTAGAGTGAAACATTCTAGATGGCTTATAGGAAAATAAGTTGCATTAATTAAAATATTTGCTAAATATTAGAAGCATAAAAAGCAAATCAAACTTAATAATATTTCGATTAGTTGATTTAATATTGGATTGGTCAATGATGAAGTGAAAGTAATATTGCATTATCAACGTATCTAAAAAGGGAAGGCGGATGGACTAGGGAAAAAAACATTGAACAATATGCTCCCTAGAACATTGCCCTGAGAAACTCCTGTTTTAATTATCTGCGTGTCTATCCGTGAAGTAAGGAAATAATAGTAAACAGGAGGATTTTGTTAGGATGCAAAATTTCGCGGTTTGCGGTTACCCACTCGTTATCAAAATCTTGATTTATATTAATAAAAAGAAAATCACAGAACAATTTTTTTTTATACAATAATCGACTGTAGCACCCTGAACACCTTATGTTTTTAAAAGTTTTTTTTAAGAGGTACTAGAGCTGATCACGATATCATTATCTCACCTGATAATATCATACGATCATGTAATTAACTTCTTGAGTTAATTTATGTCAGTACTGTTAGTGCAGGTCGTATATAACAATTTCTATAACATTTATATATATAATAGGGTGCATAAAAAAAAAAAAAAAAAAAAAAAAAATGACCGCTTTTCAACCAAATATTTGTATTATTATTTCTTTGATATAAAATACCATTAATGCTCACATTATAACCCATTGTTATATCATTCTGTGTGATGGCTGTCAAAGAACTCTTGGACCGAAATTTCAACTTCATTGTTCAATCAATTTTTTTCCTTTGAAGAAAATGGGCCATGGATCAAATAAGTAATAATCCGATGATGGGAGGTCTCGACTATATGATGAATGAGGCAGGAGTCTCATATTCGAAGGATTTTTCAATAAATTTTCACAAATTTTTAACCTCTGAGCTGATTGCTGAGGAGTGAGTTCGTGAGGAACCGGTCTACTGCTCTTTTTCGCCTTGATGGTAGATGGCAGTATCTTTCGACACACCACACTCTCTGGCAAGTTCTCGAGCACTTGTAGACGGATTTGAATCAACAGGTTCCTGCAGAATCTCATCAATATCCATTAATGGTTGCCGGGAGCCCTTCTTCTTTCCAACATCGTATCTCCACTGCCAAATTTGTTAAACCAACGCCGCGTAATGCACTGGTCAAGGTCACCTTCTCCTTCATATTTAATAATTTCACGAGTTGCTTCAGCGGCTGTGAAATTTGTTTTTCCGGTTATGCCTTAAAATTACGAGAATTTCGTAGGACAGTCATGTTTCTTCTTTGAAACAAATAGGTAAACTGAGATTTTTTTTAAGAAGTCGAATGGGGTTAAACAAGCCTAGAGAATGTTCTAAAGGTGTTATTAAGTATTGGTAAATAATAAGATTAAAATATTTACAATCCTTTGAAATCTTGAATTTCATAAAACGGTCATTTTTTTAATACACATTATTATTTGTAGTAAAGGTGACATTTTGTAGTCTGCAATAAAAAAATAATAATAGATAGTATTCTACTATGAAAAATAGTATAGGGAAATAAAATATGAAATTATACTAATAACTTAAAAAATAATCAGTTTTCATCGCTTTTGTAATTTTTAAATAAGATCTTTTGCATTAATAGTAGCGATAATTATTTTTTGTATATACTTTTTAATATTACTTAATTGTTATTTTGCTTCTGTTTATTTTATGTTTTCTGTACATAGAGTGTGAATATAGTATAACCACACTACAATTATTGTCCATATATAAAAATAGTTTATTACTCAATAAACAAACAAACAATAAAAAAAATCTATACTGAAATTAAAAATCAGCTGCTTACTCTTACCATTTTCATGGCTCTTATCAGATAATTTAATTTATATTGTCAGCATATGACCAGAAAATATTCATATCGTCTACATAAATTAAAGTATTTTATATTGTTAAACAGTAGATCCTATATAATAATAAAATTACTTTAATAATTATACATAAGCAGTAGTTACCACAGAAGCATTGGTAATGAGTGTCAGGTGATCGAAGCCCACGGTAATTCAAGAAGGAAGGATGCAAGTAAGAAGATACTTGTGTGAACAGATGGTTCAACATCTGTGTTCATTCAAATCGATAAAATCAATAACAATAAAAAAAAACGCACACAAAAAACTTGTTTTATATATCGGCATTTGGTTAAAAAATGTACATAGGAAAATGAGTTAGTTATAGAATAGTGACATAATAAAAATTACATAAATGTTTTGTTAAATAAATTTTAAAGCAAAAGGCGATTCAAAATGTAATAATTAAGAAATAAAAAATAAATAAGTATTGTGTATATATTTTTTTGAAAATGTCTCAAGGTTGGTGAAGGTTTTGTCTTATCCCAACTGTTAGTGCAAAAGGTCGGGTGTAAAAATTGAGTGTTTTATAGAACATCATTGAAAACTGATTATTTATTTATGGTTTATTAGTATAATGCCACAATTTATTTCCCGCAGCCATTTTCCTTAGTAACATACTCTTATAACAGTTGCAGACTACAAAATGTCACCTCTAGCACAAATAGAATAAAAATAAAAAGTTATTTATATTTGCACAAACAGTAGCGATATGAGGTCTAAGTGATGTCTGTCAACCATAAACCATAATATGTTTTATTTTTACCAAGATATACGGCTAGGGGGTTACCCCCGATCTGTTTAACGGCCGACCAACCCCCATTTTACAAATTATACATATCCATATCCATCCCTTTGTAAATAGTCTGGAAATAGTTTTTGTAATTATAAATATTGTAACTAGTTGAGCAGTCCCTTCCTGCTCAAATAAAAATATAAGGCTTCATGCCACAAGTGCCTAAAATGCACACAGCAGTCCCTATCCCTCCATCCTTAAAATACCTCCGGGTAAAGAAAGGTTCCTATCCATGTATATATTTATCCTACACTGTATATTGTAATTTGCTTGTAAATAAAGTTTCCGGCGGATTAAAAAAACAAAAAAAAAAAAAAACATTTTATATATGTAAAATCAAATATGACTTTTTTAAATATAATAAAGATATAACTCCATAAATATATATTTTTGTGTTCCAATTACCTTGTAATAAAAATTGAACGAAAAATCGAATAAAAAAATATAAAAAATTTCTATGAGGTATATCGTTTTATGAATAATTTTAGCTTTGTACTAACATGTTTTTACAACGAGATTGTCGATATTATAAAATGATATATATGTAAATTAAAATTACAAATAAATGGTTTAAAAGGCCACCATACCTGCCGTTTGGTCCCGGATTATCCTGGGGACATGCTGCTTCTCAAAATAATCAGAACTGAGTCCTGTTCCACTGCAACATAACATTCTATCAACAAATTTCTGAATTAGTATCCAAAGCAGTGATTGTGAAATAAAGTTTTAAAGTTAAAGACAAATAATCAGAAAAATATAAGTATATATTATAAACAAATTAAGTACATATTAACAAATTAATCAGTTACTAACTAATTCCGTTAAATGTTCTTTGACAAGTTACTTATATAAAGAATTAGTATGCAAATCAGTGATTGTGACAGTATGTTTTAAAGTTAAAGACAAATAATCAGAAAAATATAAGTATATATTATAAACAAATTAAGTACATATTAACAAATTAATCAGTTACTAACTAATACCGTTAAAAGTTATTAAAAATCAGGAGCTCTGAAATGTATAGATCCGTCGAAAAGGGCATATCGGAAATTTGACCCGATCGCAATACTTTCCTTATCTAGCATAGATAGATAGAAAAATAACTTTATTCTGGGACACAGTCCCTTGAGAATAACAAAATAGAACAAAATTAAAAGATTACATCTGGCCAAAATAAAATCAATCGAAAAAAATAAATAATGTAAAAAAATATAAGGTAAACATTCTATATACAAAACAAACGAAACTATATACAAAACAATTAATACTATGACAAGACACTTAAAGCTATTTGCACTGATAGACCAGTATACACTTTTAAGAAAATAATAAAAAATAAAAATGTATCAAATTCTCTATTGAAATCAGGTCGAATGGTTAGCAACTATCTGACTGTTTTTGGGATAGGAATTGGAATAGGAGAGTTTTGCATGTGGATATGGATGGGGAATGTCGAATTTTGATAGGGAAGGAATTCCAGAAACTGAAAGAGCGAACAATAAAGGAATTTTGGAATGAGGCAGATCTGTGAGAAGGCATGTAAAGGCATGTATTTGGGGAGGTTATGCGAGGTCAAATAGTGATATCACATTTGTACTAATCTGATTATCTAATATCTAGTTTTCTGTGCTTATTTTCTTGTTTATTTCGTGTTTATTATCGTTCATTAATTTTCTAGTTAGTTTGTGTTATTTTTTGTATGTGTTTTGTTGTTATGGCTTAGTTTATTGTAAATATTATAAATAGCGAGGTTAGGAGTGGGACATTTCATTAACTTTCATACAGAGTAGATTCTTGTGAACTATTCTACAGTGGGTGGAAAGCACCATAGGAAGCCCTAGTGAAGATAGTTTATTTACTTGCTTGTGTAGGAACAAATTTAGTAAGTATATAGAGTACTAGACTTTTACTTTTACCACTAGTGATTCCTGCTGTTCGGGCAAGCCCATTCTAATAAGACATTTAAAAGTGTATTAAGAGACCCCTTAAGGTAAATGAAAACAATTTCAGGTGAATATAGTACTTCATTTAGTTCTTTATTAGTTATAGTTTAAAAGTGGAAGGTTATAAATTGCAGATAACGTTATCTCAGTTATAATAAACCCTATGGTCAATATCGAGATGGAGGGGGTACAAAAGGAAGGAAATCTCTCAAGAGCAGTGGCAAAACGACTAAGGAGGGGCTCTTCTCATTTACCAGAGGATTTGGAAGAGACTAGTACTAAAAGCAAACTTTGCCAGGCTAAAGATATACAGGAGAGCATCTCAATGGCCATTGAAAATAATGGAAAAAAATTAAGCTCTAGTGTCCGAGACCAGATTAATATCAAGGTACAATGCCTTGTTGATATTATTGAAAATCAGGAAAAGGAAAAAGAACAAGTTGGAGTCTCGGCCATAGTTCAAAAGGCTATTTTGGACACGCTTTCGTCACAGAAGGTGCATGATGTATTGAAACAAATTTTAGTAGATAAATCTCCGCAAAAATATACCGATACACTCACCACGTCAATTGGAGCACCTCACCAAGAACCTAAACGTTCGAAGGAACCTCAGACACAAGCCGAAAAAAACATTAATCAGGCTGGACCCTCAGCTGCCTCTGAATCCTTCACGGTGGTGGTAAGTAAAAGGAAAAAGAAGAGAAACAACGCTACCAGCAAAAAAGAGCCTGATGCAAAGGAAAATCCAATCGACAAACAAGGTACAAAACCAAAATCAATAGCGGAAATAGTTAAATCATTGCCAGCTAAACCGACTCAAACGCCAAGACCTACATATGTCACTATCAGCGGAGTAGGCAAAACTCCGGTAGACATTATTAATGGCTTGCCATCGCCGGATGAAATAGGTGTGAAGGCGTCCATAGTCCGAGCGACAAAGGCAGGCTCTGTCTTGGTTCGCATGGATGATAGGTCCGAAGCCACCAAAGTAATCGGGTGGCAGGGGCTGCGTGAAAAAGGACTTCAAGCAAAACTTGCTATGAAGAAGAAGCCCAAGATGGAAGTAAAAGGTGTGCCTCAAAGCTGGACATCTATGCAGCTGTTGGAATTTCTATGGGGAAGAATATCTGAAAAATCGGGCGCCACAACACTTGTTCCTGATGACATTCGGCCTCTTTTCTCTTCAATAGCAAGGAATGGTTTTACTAAGAATTGGGTGATCGAAGTTCATCCAATGGTTAGATTTATACTCTTAGAGACAGCCAGCTTAGATGGAGGATGGTGGTCGATGTCCTTTAAAGACTACATCGACGCTCCACGGTGCACTAAGTGTCAGGGCTACGGTCATACTAAAGCAACTTGCCCAGTAGATGGCGTAGTCTGTATCTGGTGTGCAACTATTGGCCACATGCTTAAGGACTGCCCCCAAAAAAAAGAGTTGACTGGTCCGACCTGTATAAACTGCGAGCGGGCCAATGTCCCATCTAGCCAACGGAAGCATAAGGCAGGCAGTCGTGAATGCCCTGTGCACTTAAAGTGGGCCAAGGAGGTGGCAAAAAAGACTTTTTATGAATAGAATCACCATCCTCCAACTGAATATGGGCCGCCGACGCATCGTGGCAGATGAACTTCGAGCTCTCTCCCAGCGATTCGACGTCATGGCGGTCCAAGAACCATGCTGCCGTGGGAACATGGTCACGGGGTTCGGCCTCGCATCGAGGGTTATCGCCCTGAGCAGTGGAGAGAGGAGGCCCAGGGCTGCCATAGTGGTCAATAACCCAAACCTCGATGTGATGGATCTGAGGCAGTACACCACGCCGGATAATGTCGCTTGCTTCATCAGGTGGAGTAACGTTACTTTTACGCTTGTATCGGCTTACCTACCTGATGGAAATGATATTAACGAAGACATATCCGCCATGGAGATGATCACAGCTTGTTCTCGAAACGTGATCATATGCTCAGATACCAACTCCTGGAACACGGTTTGGGGGTCCAATCGAACAAATAGAAGGGGTACTAAGCTCGGTGATTTCATATCTAGGAGTCAGCTAGTAGTAATTAACGATCCTTCTGCCATCCCTACATTCTCTAGTGCTAGGGGACAGAGTTGGATTGATGTGACTCTGGCATCACCGCAGCTGGCTAACCGCATCACCGATTGGGCCCTCGGATCTGATACGAGTTCCGACCATCACTCAATAGTGTTTAGTGTCGTAGAAAATGCGACACTTACAAGTTCCCACGGCATAACTAAAGGCTATATTACAAAAAGAGGAAACTGGAGTGCCTTCCGGTCCACGTTAGAGGGAAAACTCGTTGACAATGAATGGGATGCGGCGGAGACGGATCTGACTGATGACCTAGATTACAGAGTCTCCAGGATAACAGATATCATCTGTGATGCTGCAGAGGAAACCCTCCAGCACCGGAAGGCAAGAGCTCGACCAGTCCCATGGTGGACGCCGGCCCTCACTATTATGAAGAGAGAACTCTACAAGGCACGGCGGTCGTACCAGAGGTGTAGTTGTGACGAGAGGCGCACTACACTTCGTGACGAGTACAAGTCTAAGGCCAGGACATACCGAAACGAAGTGCGGTCACTAAAGCGGAAGTCTTGGGACGAGTTTATCGTCGAGGAGTGATCCAAGAACCCCTGGGGTATCCCTTACAGAGTGGCCCTGGCTAAGATGAGTCCACAACAGGTGATTGCTGCAATGAAGAGCGGCGGTGCCCCGGCGACCACTCTGGAGGAGACGGCGAAAAATTTCATTATAGAGACCTTCCCCAGAGATGATCCATCCCAAGATGACGAGAGAGACGCGTTTATTAGACGCACTACGGTATGCCCACCCGGTACAGACTTGTGCCCACCCTGGGACATATGGGATCTCCGTACTGCCGTGGATAGACAAAGGCTTGGTCGTGCCCCAGGTATTGACAATATTGATACGGCAATCCTCCGAAATAGTATTCCCTACATTGAAGATCAACTCCTGGCAATATTCAATGATTGCTTAGATAGGGGCTACTTCCCAAAAAAGTGGAAAATTGCCGATCTCAGACTTATTTACAAGGGAGGTGACAAGGATAAACAAATGGCAAAGTCTTATAGGCCTATCTGTCTCCTCCCTGTTATGAGTAAGGTGTTGGAGAACATGATGGTCACGAGCCTACAGCCTATTTTTTCGAGAGCTTCCCATCCACGGCAGTATGGATGTACCAAAGGCAGGGGAACTGCAGATGCCCTGCTGAGAGTACGCCATGACGTTGAAGAGAAGGCGGAGAAGTATGTCATGCTCCTCTTGTTTGACATCACCTCCGCCTTCGATAGCGTATGGTGGCCAAGTGTACTCCAGCAGCTGCAGAAATACGAGACTCCTAGCAACTTGTACATTTTGATGAGAAGTTATCTCCAGGATAGAACGCTCCGAATAAGAGGTAATTTCTACGAAGTAGAAGATAGTATGGAGAAAGGCTGTCCACAGGGCTCTGTCCTTGGCCCTGCTCTGTGGAAACTTGTCTTCGACGAGTTGCTGGGTGTGCTCGAAGAAGAGCAGTTCTCCGCCACAGCTTTTGTGGATGATTTAGCCGTTGTGGTGGCGTCGAACAGCAGAGCCAGGTTGAAAGAAGAAGCTGAGCGGTGCGCCAACCTGATAGAAAGATGGTGCGAGATGAAGAAACTGCGGATGTCAGCTGCTAAAACACAGGCTATCCTCTTGAAAGGCA